ACAAGTTCCAAATGGACAAGTATTACGCCTTGAAAGACAGAAAAATGGACTGACCAATGGAGAAAGCTATTTAAGTAGAAAATTGTCTTAGAAAATATCTAAAAACATTACATTTCTGAGAGAGCACTTTTGTGTCAAATTACTGCAAGGTCATAAAAAGTTTAAAGTTAACTAATTTTCAACATGTAATTTTGAAATATACAGTTTATATTATTAATGTTTTCAGTAGCATACATAAAAAACTTTCTAGTATTTCCAAACCAACCTTTTTTCCCCCCAATAGAATATAGATAATGTGGCTGTGCTGGCATTCATATTAAACATGCAATAATATGTTCTGAAACAGTGTGTAGGGCTGGTGGACTTTGGTGGCTTTACATTAAAACCGTAGTTAAGAAACCAACTACAGAACAGTCTCTAGTTTTATATCTAAGTCATACAACCCTTAATCAAATCAAGCATAAGTTAGATAATTTCTATTATTTCCAGAAAAGATATTTTTAAAAAGGGAACATGGGCAAGTTGAAAAATATTAATGTTTCCACCAACTTTGTTATAAATAGGCATATTTAAAAATAATTTATAATCCCATGAATTCATCGTATAAGGAATTTCTTCCTGTTTTGAACAATCCCAACAAAATTAACACTAAATTATATTTAATTAGACTTATGCCAGAAAATATAAAATCTATATAGTTACTTTCTATTTGAGGTGTGGGAAAAGGCAGAGATGCAAACATAGAACATAATTTGAAAATTTTTCCAAAAGTATTCAAAAATATATGAATTAACTAAGTAAGTAAATAGAGAAAAATATTCGCTACTGTTGAATCCAAGTAGTGGTATATGTAAGGGCACTGTATTTTTCTCCCTCCAGTTCTATAAATACAAAATTTTTTATGACACAACTGCTAGGGTATATCATAAGGTCAAATACAGGTTCAGCTGAATCTCCTGCTTCTACAATGGGCAGTTAACTGAAGTCTAAGAGGTTATCATACTCAAGATATTATATGCCTCCCCTGGCTCTGGAGGCAGACTGCCTAGGTTCAGATCCCAACTCTGCCAGTTATTGGCTGCCAGTATAATGAGAATAATAGTCCTCTACCTCAAAGAAGCTCCAATGAAAAACTGTATGTCAAGTGCTTAGCACAGGCCCAGGCCTGGCCCATATGTAAATGGTGTCTTATCACATTGTTATAGTAACCAGAGGATATACCTTCAGACAGAAAAAATAAAAGAGACTAAATGACATGACAGAAATTTGGGGTTATTCAGATTTCACTGTAGGAAAAAAATGGTAATCCATACTGTGATAAGATCCTACAGAGCCCCGAGTCACCACGACCATAACAATAATCATAACCCAACATTTCTATGGTACTTTATTACAGGCCAAGCGCTGTGCTAAGCCCTTTATATGCAGTTTTTCATTTGAATGCATATGAAGCAAAGAATTACTATTCCCACTTTACAGAAGACAAAACTAAAGGTCAACAATTACACATAATTTGCTCAAGATTACGAAGCCTAGGCAATCTGCCTTCTGAAGTCTGCTTCTGACAGCATTCACCTGAACTTGGGCAAGTCATTTCCCATACTGGGGCTTTATTTCCTCCTCTGGAATATGAGCATACTGCTGGAATAGGTGCTCTTAAAAATCCCTTCTAAACCTGTCTGGATAACACTGGTACTTAACCCAACTTATTACACACAGAAAGCATCTCTGCTCTCGTTCTTTTACATGCCTGAGTTTCTCTGTCTTATATAAATGTGGAATGACGCACTGTACAATTCCCTTGGTGGGGCACCTCAGTGTTCCTGAGCTCTGTTGGTAAGAGGTACATCATCACTAAGAGGTATCGGCCAGGTAGAGAACCTCACTAGAAAGTTCCATAACTAAGTCTCTTTAAATGGAATCGAAAAAGAACCTGACTTAAAATGAATTGTACCAAACAGCACTACTGCAACAGAGATGTTAAGAAGATACATCAACAAAATTAGCCAAAGCTCTAGCACTTGAGTTATGTCATTCTACCTCTCAGGATCTGTTTCCTTATTTACAGAAATGAAGTGGCTTGACTTGAGGTGGTGAACAGACAATACAATATACAGATGGTGTATTATAGAACTGTACACCTGAAACCTATATAATTTTATTAACCAATGTTACCCCAATAAATTCAATAAAAAAGTAGAAGGAAGGAGGGAAGGAAGGAAGGAAGGGGCTTTTAGATACAGGTAATCCCTAGGGAAACAGCCACCAAAACCCAGGGTACCAATCAACTTTGCTACTTTGTTAGAATTAAGAGAAGGGGGTAAGGAAGCATGTGTAGTTTGAAAAACCACACTTGAATACAGTTATTGCTTTTACAGTATAAACCACAGAAGTAAAAGCTCCAAAAAAAAAATCTTTTCTTTAGCAAAAGGAAGTGTAGCAGCATTGGGAAATGAGGGGTAGGGGCGGCGTGAATTTTTTAAAAATGTTAAGATACATTATAGTAGATCACTATTGAAAGCCCCTTTTAGCTCAAAGAGTCTGTAAAATAAAAAATAAATTTGGTATTCTATGAAATAAACTCTTCATTTTAAAGAAAAATCTTATTTGTCAAAATAAACCAATTTTTTAAAAAGTCATCAAGACTACTTAAGATATTTTCTCACTTTTGTAGAAAAATGATTTAAACAAATGCACAAATATGTGAAAGTCTCTACACAAGACTCAAGGTGGTCTGTTTTTCAAACATACTTGATATATTTATCAACACAAATCAAGTCTGATAATAATTCCAAAATACATCTATTCCAGTGGATATTACTCCTACTCCGGTTCTAATATTGGTTTAAAACCCAGAAGCTCCATTTTAAGAAAGCAAAGTGAGACATAAAGTCCATGTAATTCTTTCTGTGGTCAAATATATAAAGATCAATTTTAAATAAAATCTCTTCTACAAATCTTTTGGTCATCTTTGCTATTCCATGGTACCATGGGAATGAAAAGACACGAGACCAAACTCAATTCCATCTGTCTGGCTCTCATTAGCATTGCTGGTAAATGGCCTGCTAAGAAACAATACTCTACTTGTCAATATCTGTTTGGTGGTTAACTTTTATGGGTTTAATCTCTCCTCAGACCCCATTTTCAGAAATAATTAATCAAAAGCCAGTTGTATTCCAATTCAACTCCTATAAAGATAACTGATGTCTACATCATCAGCTCTCAATTCCTAAATCTCCCTTATCTCTAAGACTTGACTTGGGTTGGGAGCATCAAAATAAAAAGAGGGCCTATTATAAAAAGAATACTATGAAAAAGTGGACAGCTTTTAGAAAAAGAGGAGCTCTCCTACCAAATGCAGCCTCCTCGTATGACCTCCCTCCTCCAAAAAATAAGTGCATAGAGAAATTCCAGAAAGTGTATTCTTCCCTTATGTACCAAACTGATCTCATCTTTCAGTGCCTCTTCATTTAAAAAAAAAATTCACAAACTTCACAATAGCAAAAATAAACCTTACTATTAAAATCTTCCTGAAGGAGCCTGTATAAACTTAAAATCCTCTCTCATTAAAAACTTACATACACACAATGTATGGGTTTCATGGACCCCCATGAACTGTCAAGGTTAAAAATCCTTGCTCCAGCCTAGAGAATCATGTGCTTCTCAATAACCTTATCTCCTCCTTCAGGAATGGGAACCACCCAAACATCACATCTGACACGTAAACGGCAATAAAAGGAAGTTTCCAACTGCACCTGATGGTTTAAACTATCTCAGTCAAATGATGATTCTGGCATTTTTCGCCAATGTTCAAAGGATCTGTTTCATTTCCTTGACCACTCAAATTGAGTGGTCTCATACGAGCTCTCCTCTCTTTTCTTTCTTCTTTTCTTTTTTTAACTAAGCCTAGAAGGTTATGGCCAAATCAGTTTATAAGTGAAGGATAAATGCCTGAGAAAAGATGATGTTCAGGACACTGCCAACCGATGTGGTGGTTCAGACAGCAAGAACAGAATAAGGACACTCCATTCAACCTTTTTGTCTGGGGCACTTCCTGGGTTTTTCGTTGGCATTTAACACCAAAACGCAAAGCTCATTTTTCATTAAAGTTGCAAGACTTTCACTTTGCCCAGTTTCAAATGGTGTAATTGATCTGCATTGTCTTCTTAAATAACCCAACTGAAGGACACTGCAGCTTTAAATATTTCAGTGCTAGCTAGCAAATAGACTCCATTGCAATATGGCTCTGAAGGTCACGTCCTATTGTCTCTTTCTTCTGGAAAAAAAAATTTCTAAGTCTTTTTTCTAGGTAACATAGGAAGAGTTACCCCCTAGAATTTCCACTCTTCCATCTCGTTCCCAGATAGAGTTCTGGTAGCTATCGGAACCTCACTCATAATTTTCCCAGCAGGAGCAATATGCTGATTGCTATTAAGGATGCCAGAACCTTAGCAAGACATAAACACTTGTGTTCACATTAGTTTAATTGAGCATATGCAACTGTCTGAAAGAGCACCACTCAGGGGCTGTTAACCTCTTCAAGAGTAGGACCAGGGTGGTTTAAAGTGGATGGTTTCCTGCAGGCACCCTGAGCCCGGGATTGCATAACCTGAAATGTGTAGCTACTTAGAATGAAAGAATCTCCTTGTACTCATCCTGGGACGATGCAGGCACCTTGACACACCTTACAGTTTTCCTTGTCAAAAAAGGTAAAAATAAGAAACACAGGCATGGTGAAGGAAAAAGCAAAAGAGAAAAGACCCTTTTCTACCTTGTCAGGGTGCATAAACACGCATCTTTGAGCAGTCACAATGTTCACCCACCACGGTGCACGGGAGTGGAATAGCCCCAGTAAACTGGAGGCTTTGGAAGGGGGTAGGGGCACTGGACATTGTCCTTTTTGAAGAACAAAATAATCAGTAGACGATTAAAAGGCTGGGAAGAAGGGGCAAAGGAAGCAGGGTAGGAGGAAGGCGTGTGCAGATGCATTGGAGCATTACCTGAAATGGCAACAGATTGTTACCATTATCGGTCCGGAATGCGTTATCCTCCATCCAGGATTTGGAGGTGAGCGGGGCTGCGCGAGGGAACTTAGGCGGCGCGATCACATTACTGGAGAAGGGCTTTTTGAGTGGCGAAATAGGGTTGAGCGGTGAAGGCACCCCGACGCCCACGCCCACACCCACGCCGACTGCCCGGCGAGGGTCCCGGCCCGCCTGCAGGCCGCCCCACGGGTTGGAAGGCGCACTCCAGGCGGCATTCACGCTCTGGTGCGTGTTCCAGCTGGAGGAGGCAGACGAGGCAGCAGCGGCGGCCGCAGCTGCTGCTACAGCCGAAGACGAGGACGGCTTGCTGGTCATGATGGGCTGGTGGCCGTAAGCCGCGGGGGCGCTCCTCTGAGCATAGGGCGCCTGGCTGGGGCTGGCTGGCGAGCGACGCTGCTGCGGAGGCTGCGCCTGCGGGGGCTGCGCGGGCTGAGCGGGTTGCGGCGCAGGCGGAGGCGGCTGCTGGTGGTGCTGGGTCTGCGCCAGGCCAATTTGCGGGGAGAAGGTGCCTCCGAAGACTGGGTTGACATGGTGCGGGAAGTTCTGGAAGAGCATGGTCCCATTGACTGGGGTGATCCCCTGGAAGAAGCTGTCCTCCACCGCATTCGTGGTGCCAGTGGACCAGGTGCTGCCGAAGGACGGCGACAGCGACGCGCCCGGTGCCCCGGGATCCTGTGGCGGTGGCTGCTGCTGAGGGGGCTGGTGGAAACTCAAGCCCGGCAGGAGCGGCGATTCCATTTGCATCTTGTCGGGGCCGTTAGGGGCCGGCGGGGCCGCGGCAGGGCTAAGGGCCGGCACGGCGCTGCTGTCCTCCGGCTTGGGGGTCTCTGAGGAGAGGGGCGTGGACGGGGTTTCGGCTGCGCTGGGCTCGGACTGGGGCTGCTGCTGCTGCTGCCGCTGCTGCTGCTGCTGGGGCTGGGGCTGGGTTTTGCTTTTGTCCATCAGTAAATCATCCTGCATGGTTTGCGCAGCTGAAACGGGAAAAAAGAGAGACGCGTTATTGTCAATGTGATCGTTAATGCCCCTCGCTGAAGCGGGTGGGTGTTTTACTTGCGAAAATCCAGTGCCTCCGCTACTAGCCAATTGCAATGCAAATCCATAATCTCCCATTTAGAAGAACAGGTCGGGCTGGGGTGGGAGGGCTCGCGCAAGGTCTCTAAAAATACTGTGAGAGCGTCTTCACCCTTTCTGATGTCTTGGTTCCTTTCCTGTATTAGTGAGAGATGTGCTTATAAGACAGAAAGACAGCAATTTCGCCACGTCTCTTTTCCCTTCACCGGAACTAAGAGCGTTCACCCTGCAATGAGAAACTGATTCTGGTTCCTGTTTTTTTCCCAAGCACCACCCTCCCCTCGTTATTTGCATACGTCAATAAATACTGCTGCGTCCTTCAGCAAGGTTAAAAAGACACCGCACACGACCCTTTCTTCCCCCCTGCTCAGTTCTGGCACTTTAAAGAAACAGCAGTCTTATCTCTCTTGATTAGCAAACTGCCTTCTAGCGTTGATAATTGTTTCATTTAGCAGCAGCGAACCACGAGGGAGGAAATCCTTGACATTTGTTAGGAGGAGGACTCAGCTGCACAATCATTCTCTGGCCTCCCAGTAGCTGCAGCTACTCCATTTTGTTAGGAGACAGGAAAAAAAAACCCCACTGTTTTTATGGAGGTAAAAATCGACTGAAACGTTTGGAAGTGCTTGCTGCCTGATACTCTCCAAGGATTGGGGTTTTTCTGTCTCCAGTTCTGCCACACAAGAGATTTTTGGCATCTCAGTGGTTCAGGTCCCAACAGGAGCCTGAGAATTTCTCTGCAGACTGGAGAAATGTTCTCGTTGGATTTGAGGTCAGAGAGAGAGGAAGAGAAAGAGGAAGAAAGAGAGAGGGAGAGAGACTGACAGACGCTGAGTGTGAGATGGGGCGGGGCTTTTAAACAATCCTTCTTTAGAAATGTGGGGAAAAAAGTAAAAGAAATCCTTTTGAAATTTAAGTAGAAAGTCAAGATAATTCTGGAGTTGCCAGATTTTCATTTTTAAATCCTCTTGCTGCTGCCTTGGTCACAAGACTTAGGCAAATTTAGAATGCTCTCATCACTAGTATTAGCAGTGAAAGATCATGGTTTGAAGACCCTGAATTACCATATACTAGCAAAAGTGTTAAAAATAGCAGAGTACAAAGTCCCAAATTCTCATACATTGTAATTATAGTACATCGCCATCACTGCTTCGTTTAGCCATATAAGGAGTGTATGGTATTTTCCATTTCGCATAGAATGACTATATTCACCTCTGCCTACTGCCTGTTTTCTCATTCAGAGATGAAAATAGTAATCACTCAATACCAGATTTTCATACACATAGTTATCATTGTCCCTTAGAACATGTTACTTGTATTAAATATATTAATGTTACAGGGCTGAGACCCCCCTGAAAACAAATACTTTGAAATGTTAAAGAAGCATATAACCAACCATATACTTTTAGATGATAATTCAGTATAATTGTAACAAACTTATTAATATAGTTAATGCAGTTACCTAACTCAGATGCAGAGAAGCATCTTTCTCAGGACACCTGTGAAAGGGCATTCAAATACCCTCAGAAGGTCTGTCTTTGGATATCCTCATAATAACGACTGTTGTAAAATAAATGTATTGAAAGATGGTCGTGCTAGCGCTGTTAACTATTAAGCCAAATTATGTCAGACTGAGAAATAGGATTAAAAGTAGTCCTATTTTATTAAAGGTTATCTTTTAAATGATTGTATTTACTCATGGGCTCATACAGTTGAAACTAATAAATTGTACATCAACTGTAATTTGAAAAGAAAAAATGGTTAATCTTTCATTTTAAAGTTTCATACATAGACAAAATAGTGGATTCAAAGAAATGCTCCACAGCTACCTTACTCTCTTTTCTACTCCTTTCTTCCCTATCTCCTCCCCCCGAAAAAAAACAACCCAATATGACATATATCATAAATTGCCTACTACTCCCAATAAAATCTACTTAAGATTTTATGTTCCTCAGTTCTCTTGGTCTAAAACAATGCTTTGATCAGTATTGAAAATGATGACACAGAGATGCAAGTGAAGCTGGGATTCACAACACAAAGTTCTATTGCTACCAAAGGAAATGGTGATAGAAAGACATTTTTATACTCGGTTTAAGCAGTGCTGCAGTAACCATTATAATCTGATATTTCAGATGCTTCCAGGGGGCTAGAATTAGCTTTACAATAGCCATATCATCATGGCTGAAATATGCATTTGATTCTAATTTCAATATCAATTCAGCTTTTCCCATGCTTGTATAAATGCTTTTTGTTAATGCCTTCAGTGTAAACTACACACTCCTGGTGGAAAAAAAATAATGCTGTACCATAGCAAAAAGCCAAAAAGTAAGCTGGGCTCACAATATTTTATAAAGGCTGTAATTGATATTAATATATTTATTGAATTTTAAAATTTTTATCATACCATGAACATCCATTTTTCTCAACACTCCTTAAAGATCTAAATTTCACTTTCTGCATAAATTCACTTTGTCAAGGTCAAGACCCATCTTTAATAAATAAGACCCTTTAAACAAAAGATAAGCAATAGATTAAGATAATATTTATAAAGTTAATATGCACCGTCTTTCAGTGACTGTTTGTATAGTTTGTTTGCTTGGGTTGGGGTTTTTGTTGTTTGTTTGTTTTCTTTTTTCTTATTTATAGCAAAGTCAGAGAAATAGATATCTCCTTCCCCTCCCCCCACCACACACACAATAGATCTTCCTTCACATGCAATCACCCAATCTCAAGTAACAAATTCTTAGTAGCAGTTACCTTTGAGTGTCCAGTGTTTAAGGATCGATAAAATTTAAAAGTGTACAGTATTTATTTTCTTCTTTCAGGTTGATTATGTGACCGCTCTGGCAAAAGCACTTTGACAACTGTAAGACGAGAGGGCATGCGCAAACAGGGAACTGTGGGGGCTGAAGTCCTTCACAAGGTACTCCGCCTGACTTAAGCACGCTCAGCCAGCAAAGGAAGAAGCCTCGTAAATACTGATTCCAAGGGGAAGAGGTTGTACCCGGTTCACATCATATCTTCCTAACCAATACAAAATCACGAGTAGTTGAAACAAAAAAGAGGAAAAATAAAATGGTTTATCAAGTTGATTTAAAAAGCCAGGTTAAAGGAGAAACTGCATTGTAGGGCTCAAAATAAATAAAACCAGCAGAGCTACCTTAAATGGTATTAGAATGGTAATGACTGGATAGCCAGCAATAGGAACCAGACCCGGCAAGAGATTGGGGTGAGAAGGAATAAGAAAAGGAGGGGGACTAATGGGCAAAGATAAATACTTAAAATCTGACTACATGTAAAATCAACATTTTTAATATTATAGAATGAAAAATATCTTCATATTAAAAGTGATATTAACCTTGGAGTTCAGGTCAAAGTAATTTTCAGTCACAAATTAGTTTACTTGGGCATTTATTAATCCATTTGACCCTAAGTGCAACTCTACTAATACTTTGTACAATGGAGAAAAATAAACTTTGACTCCTAACCCTTGTTGAATGACAATAAAAAATTAGCACTGCCCACATTTAATGCAATTTTTTTAAATTTTATTTTTTTAAGTGCATACTCTTTTTTTAAAGATTTTATTTATTTATTTTTAGAGAGGGAAGGGTGGGAGGGGGGAGAGAGAGACAGACAGAGAGAGAGAGAGAGAGAAACATCAATTTGCGGTTGCTGGGGGTTATGGCCTGCAACCCAGGAATGTACCCTGGCTGGGAATCGAACCTGGGACACTTTGGTTCCCAGCCCGCGCTCAATCCACTGAGCTACGCCAGCCAGGGTTAAATTTTATTTTAATCATTGTTCAAGTACAGTTTTCTCCCACTTACTCCCATTCCAGCCCACCCTAATGCAATTTTATTGTATTAGAAAATAAACTAATTTTTACTCTTCCTTCCCTAAAATGAGCACTCAGATCTAAAACAAAAATTACTCAAACATAAATGCCAAGTATAAAGACCAAGCAAACAATAAATTATATGAGCTCCCCCCCACCGACACACACACAAAAGGACCAAGAACATCTCTACTAAAATCCTGTTTTTTATTTAACCAGAAAGGAAGCACTTTCTGAAATTCTGTCTTCAGGCCGCAGAGCTTAAGCACATACCCCCCTTTGAATAGTTATGGAAAAATACAAAAACAGATTGTAGGGTTAGCTCACTGAAATATACATGGGTCAAATACATCTTTCTAGGTTTCCTTCCTTTCCTTCTCTACTTATATCTCTAGCACAATGCTTGTAAGTCCTGGGTAGTTCGTGGTTGCTCCATATATGCTTGCTTAATGGCTAAGTGAATGACTGGATGAAATAATAGTTTTTAGGTGCTGTCTAGTGTGGCTTGATTCATTGGAGCATCATGCCATGCATTGAAATATTGGGAGCTTGATTCCTGATCAGAGCACATACCTAGGTTGTGGGTTTGATCCTTGGTTGGAGAACTTACGAGAGGTAACAAATTGATGTTTTGCTCTCACATCTCTCTTCCCCTCTCCCTCCATCCCTCTCAAAATCAATAAATGTATTTTTTTTTATTTTTAAAGAAATATAAGCCCTGAATGGTGTGGCCCAGTGGTTTGGGTGTTGTTCCGAAAACCAAGAGGTCACTGGTTCAATTCCAGGTCATAGCACATGCCTGAGTTGCAGGCCAGATCCCTGGTTAGGGGCGTGTGAGAAGCAACCAATCAATGTACCTTGATGTTTCTCTCCTTCTCTCCCCCCAGCCCCCATCTCTAACATAAATAAAAGAACATCTTTTAAAAATAAAGAAAAATATATATAGTTTTTGATTATATAAACAGTCAAGGTTTGAGTAGGTATTAAATTATTCTCCATTTAGAGGTGTAATTACTTTTTCATCAGCTGCAAGAATAAATATGAAGGGGGTTGGTATAAATA